CTTAGGCCGAGTGTTTAATCCTGTAATGTGATTATCACGAAGATATCACTGGGTTCACTCTTCTTGAAACTACCCATTTTTATTAGTAAAAATGGTGTTGGATTATAATCATAACATGTACTAGCGGAATGATCTGGTATTGTAAATTTGTTTTTTTATATGTTGCACACCGTGTGAAAAATCTGTCGTATAACATCAACGTTCTTACCTGTAAAATAAAGACACTGAATTTATATGTGTAATGTTACTTTCGTAACACATCCGGAAAAAACATTAAAATCATATAGAACTGAATTTATATATGAAACTGCAATTAAAGTTTCTTTTGTAATTCTGGTATCGGTATAGAGATTGACCTTAACCTAACGCAAAACTCTAATTTTGGAATATGCTGCAGGTCAACATCGGTCAATCAACCCAAATTATACTGTAGCATTGTTCTAAGAATTACATCGCTATATCCGCCGTAATTTCTAACAAGTTGGATAATTTTTTAAGACCGAAGAAATTTATGGAACGAGCAAAATTTTTTTAATTTGCCAATTTGTGAAAACAGTTGTAAGACCATAACCTGTTACACATTTCGGTCTTTCTATTAAAAAAATTGGAAGCTTCTCGGGGTCTTGGCTCAATAATAGCAACAATAGTACAACCAGAGTTCCTGAATTCGGTTTCTAAAAAATCTTTAGGAACCGAATCCGAACAAGTGGCATCACTAAATTTCAAATTAATTAGTATCAAATAAAGGCACAAATTTAAAAAAAACAAAAACCATTACCGTTACACATTGTTAACCATTTACAGTATGTAAATTAGCGGTGTAATGATTGGTGTTTCTTTCACTTTGTTTATATTTTTTACATTTCTGTGAAATATTTCAAAAAAATAAAAAAAATGTATATATGAACATTGACTTAAAACATAAATTTTACTATACTTTGTCGAAGAAAAAATATGGCTTTAAGGTTAAATAACGAAAGCCCCGAAATGAATCATTTTGGTATGAATTTAATTCATAACTTTTTTTAAATAAATTGTAGCTCAATCTTTTATTTGCTGTAGGTTCGGGCTATGTAAAGCATCGAAAAAAAGCACAAGATTATAAAGGCATTCTATCCGACGATACACTTTTAAAAAATAATTTAAAAAAAAAGAAAAATTTTAAATCATTTGGAGAGATTCCTCTTAATGATAGATATAATCTCCTTGGACTTTTTATAATTTCTGTTTTTGTAAGATTATACAGTATAGGCTATCCAGCATCAATAGTGTAAGACAAATATAATTTTTAACGACTATCCCGCATTAATTTAATGCATTAACAATGCAAAAATGCATATCGATTGGATTTTGCATATCTGTGCATTTTTGCATTTTTTTGCATATAGCATTAGATTAATTCGGGACAGATTTGAAAATCAAAAAGATCTCTGCTCTTTTATTCATCTTTTACGGGAGGATCCCAATAGTAGTTATTTAAAATTATCATATTTTGCCTAATGAATGGCTATGATTTCATTAATAAGAGTTTTAGTGATTTTGGACAAAATTGATCAATTCCAATCATCCGTCCAGGATTCTCCTGTACGAGTTCTTTTATTTCATTGACATCTGAAGAGAACTCTTTTGTTAATTTAATAATTTGTGCATTTTACAACTATCAGATTTGAAGAGTCGCATTTTGTAAATTCTGTCTCGTAAGAATAGTGTTCATTATTTCTGAACTCTTCTTTAAATCAAATAGTTCATCTAATTAATTGATCGTATTTTTTAGACAATACATAAAGCGCAGTTTCTTTCTGGATTATGACCCACCATTAGTGAAATTGCTTTTCTCCTTCATTGGTTTATTGTGTGGATTTAATAACGTTTTCGATGAAAATAAGTAGGTTTTAGTATATTTAATTCGATTTATTTTTCTTATTGAATTGCTTATTATTTCTTTCTCTGTTCTTTCTGAACAGAGATTACATTGAACTTGGGATTCCGTATGTGGCCCTGCGCTTTATGTCAGGAATCATGGGAGCTTTTTTAATACCGATTGCTTATTTAACAATCAAATCAGCTGGATTTTCGAAAATTGCAGCATTTTTAGTCTCTGCATTATTGATATTTGGTAAGTTAGAATAGCAAAGGAATTATTATTGGACAGATATGAGTATAGTAGAAATCATGTCCATATATTATATATAAAATTGTATTTTATTAAATTCCATCGTTTATTTAGCATTCTGACACTTCCTTTTTATTAAAAAAAAAAGAGAATGGGTTGGTTACCCAAAGCAGGTTGATTTTGCATAATTCAGCGTCTTTAACTTTTACTGCATTTACGTTTTTGATGTGGGTCAAATTTTATACCGAAGAAAAAAGGTATGTATATTTCAAATGGATAACTATGTCAATTGGTTATTATTAAATTGGTTTATAAATTTCATCATATTAAAATGAATGCACTTTTTTTTTAATTTTCAGACCGTTTAAGTTATGGTGGTGGGTTTGGATGGCGTTAACCGGAGTAGGACTTGGTCTTACAATAAGGTATTTTTTCAGAATTTACATTTTTACCTAATAAATAATTTAGTGAACATTGTGTTAATGGATTAAAATTTCAGCGCAAGTTTGGAAGGTTTTTTCACGATGACCTTTATCGGTCTTTTAGCAATAAATTGCCTATGGGTTTTAATATGCGACTTACGCACATCTTATGTATGTAAAACTATAAAAACTTTATCGCAGTTTAATAAATTTTATTTTAACGTTAGCTCTTTTTTTATTCTTAGACACAATTTACAAAATATCTTTTTGCTAAAGCATTATGTTTAATAGTTATTCCTGTTATTCTGTATATAATTATCTATTTTATTCATATTTCAATCTTGAAATATGGTGGTACTGATGAATTGTTCATAAGTCCTGAATTCAGAAAGACATTAAATGAACATAGCATGAATGATACGCCTATAGGTTATTATTGTATTACATGTGTTTATACAAACTTTGATTATGATAATTATTTTCCTCTTTTATTAATATTTATGAATTTATTACAGATGTTGCATTCGATTCTATCATAACTCTTAAACATGTTGTTACAGGTGGTTACTTACACTCTCATCAAGTTCCTTATCCGAGATCCGAAGATGATGATATTTGTATGTATATTATTTCACTGTATAAAATGAAATTCTAAAGTTTCCATTTAATCAAAATATTTAATTCATTTAGATCATCAAGTTAGTCTGCTTATGCATGATGGTGATGATGATGATAATTTTTGGACTATCAGGAGGGTCAAATTTGCTGAATCCTCTGAAAAACCTGAAAGTTCTCAAGACTCTGAAGATTCTCAAGAACCTCAAAACCTTCATGAACCTCAAGTACTTCGAGATCTTCATGAACCTCAAGATCTTCAAGAACCTATCCTCGATTGGATATATGATGGTGCATTAATTCATCTAGAACATGTTAAGACTGGTAGAAGTTTACATAGCAATACGACTATTGCACCAGTTTCAGATGGTGATTTTCAAAAAGAAGTTAGGTGAATAGACTTCAATGATTCTGAACGGCAAAACTTGAGTTTTTCACATTTATTTAGATTAAGATACTCTCCCATAGCGCTCGCCTTTTCGATGGTTTTTTAGATACTACCGACCTTTGGAATGTAGAAATTGCAGAGCATGATAAATCTGATCCAGAATCTAGTAAACGTGTTCGTACGATTCGTACAAAATTCCGCTTATATAATCATGAAAGAGGATGTTATCTTTTTTCACATTTTATTAAGCTGCCAGCCTGGGGTTCTGATGAAATAGAAGTTACTTGTGCCACGGATGGTATTTATCAAAATTCGTTGTGGTATATAGAATCAAATTCTCATCCAGATTGTATGTGATTACCTTCATTTATATAATTTAATGTTTTTTTTTATACAAGATTTTATAAAAATAATTATTGTTATAATACTTATTCGTCAAAATATTGTTTATTAGTACCAGAAGATACCGAAATGGCCAATTATAAAAAGATTGGACTCTTTAGGAAATTTTATGAATCTCATATAGCTATGTGGGGATATCGTATTGAACGGGATTCTAGTATTCGTAAGTTTGGTCGTCCATTATCATGGCTATTCTTGAATAGCAGTATTAATTTTTGGGAAGATATAAAAGAGGAGCGTCAAATTTATTTATTTGGAAATCCACTTGTGTGGTGGACTTCTACACTTGCCGTGTTTGGATTTGTTATTGCGAAATTAGGAATGCTTTTACTGGAAAAGAGAGGATATAAAGATTATTCGACTGGTAAGGTTATAATGATATATCTTTTCAAAGGAAAAACATAAGCCTATTCATGAACTTAATTCATTTTTCATTTTTTTTGTTATATCAAGTTAAAGCAAAGCATTTTGAATCATGGGCCGCCATATTTTTCATAGGATGGCTTTCACATTATTTTCCATATCTACTTGGTTTTGGATCATCATATTTGTATTTTTACTTTCCTTCATTATATTTTGCAATTCTTTTAATCGGCATAGGATTTGATTTACTCACGGATCGACTTACAGTCACGAATCGAATAACTATTGCCGCAATATTTTTGTTAGCAAGTGTATACGTTTTTACATTATTTTTACCTATAACTTATGGAGGGTCATGGACAAGATCTGAATGTAATAAAGTAAAATTACTAAATTCTTGGGAATTTTGTGATTTATATGACAAAGATTATCTTGAAGAGGAGGCAATCATAGAAATAGATTATGATAATTCACCAGGTGAATATTATACAAAAAGTCCTGCTTATTTAACTCAATCGGTTGAAGCAACTTACAATTACAAAACACTCGAAATGGAATGGTCGGAATAAAATAGAAGGGTTCATCATAAAATTATATTTAAGTGGGTTTAGGTTAATATATGCAGTTGAGGACATAGATATAAATGGCATAGAGATAAAGAAAATGAACATTCTATATAACAACCCATGTATATTATAGTTTAATTTAATTAAAAAGCATACGCATAAAATGATCTATCATATTATAGACATACATATTATAATCATAATTATAAACTTTTTTTAATAACCAAATTTTAAGATTATGTAATCAAGGCTATCCGGATGCTTTGTAAAAAGTATTTTGTTTAAAACACTTGTGAAGGCATTTTATTAAGTTAATAAAATAACTTTAAAGTGATAATATAATTCCCGTCACAATTGTTAAAGGCAATTTAAGACTGTTTATTTACTAACATTATATTAACAAACAAATTTTATTTATTTATTTAAATTTTTTTTTTTTTTTATCGTGTCTTTATTATGATCTTTGGTTCTTGATAAGCACACCAGAAGATGAACATTTTAAAAGCTCTTTTTATATTTCTATTTTCGCTATTCTTAACTTACGGCTTCATCTCATCTATTAGATTTTCCCACCAAAATTTCTATCACTCGATTGTTTTGCACCCTTGCCACTCTGAAACTTCATAGATTCAGTTACGAAAATTGTTACGAAAAAGTTGAGTTTACGCGTAGAGTTTAGAACAAATTCTATCTATAGTCGTACTTTTGGACTATACCCATTTAGTGTATGTATCAATCTTACAATTTGACCCTATTTTTCGGAATGTCGCAACGTAAGAAATTTTAACGCGTATATCATTACTCTTCTAAAAAAAACAAAAAAACAATTGATTAAATGCATCAACTATTAATATCCACGAGCTCTAAAATTATGCAAAATCAAATCACACGAACCGTAAATTACAGGTACTGAAATCCATTGTTGGCAATTGAAATTATGCTGTTATACTAATATTGTAACCGTGAAAAAAATTGATTAGTATAATAGGAGTTTTGTAAGTTTTATCTATAATATAATATGGTCAATAATTGGTTTAATACCATAAAAACTATAGATTACTTAATAAAAATAAATACCCAGATTTGTACTGGTCATAAATAATATTATTGTTTTCTAAGTTTACATTACTGTCAACCAAATCAGCTCCAAGGCATATATAATATATACTATTCGAATAATACGTGGTGGTTTTTCCATAGTAAATGATGCAGGTATATTATGAGCGTGACGTGGAATTGATAAGAAATTCCCATTTTTAAGGTGGTTTGATTCATCATATAGTGCATAACTTTTAGAATCAAGCAGAGCCAAAACAAGAATGGCGTACATCATTCCACAATCAAATTTTTTGGGAGATTCTTTATATGTTTTCATATACTCATTAGCATTCAATTTTTTTTTTAAATTTAACAAATTCTCCGAAGTGGAATTGTCTTGCAAAGATTCATTTAATCGTAACCCATAATCGAGATAACCAGATTTTTTACTGCGATAATTGAACTTCTTAAAGAAATTTATCATAGACACAAGACATATATATTTTGAAGATCCATTCACGACTTTGAAACTTTCAGCTGTCATGAGTTCTAACTATTAGGTTTAATCTTTGAGAATGTCTACTAATTTGCATATCTGAATTAATATTTCTAACATGTGCGGTTCTAAAAAATGAAAAAAGAAATATTAGTATTAATGCCTCATTAAATGAAATAATGCATATATGATCACTTTTTTTAATGTACTGTAGAAATTCCAAAAGGACATAATCCCGACAAAGTTAACCGTATTAGCTATAATACTGACTGATTTCATAGAGATTATGTTCTTTTGAAAAATGAAGTTCATTAAATCGTCCAACATACTCTAATATAATTTTAGTAAAATATAAAAGTTCATACCATTTTATGCGCACAGTTCATCAATGTTATTGTCGCGCCTCACTCGAATTTGATTTTTTGTTTGTCTTTGATTTTCCATGAACATAATTGTTATCGGGTATTTTGATTCGTCATTAATTTAATTTATTCTTTTTTTACACTGACTCGACTTTGGCCGTGACCTAAAAGAATAAAGAATAAAATAAAATCAATGAGAAGATATTTTTCAATAAAATAATCAAGATTAAATTGAATGGACGGTTATAGAAGATCACTAGTCTAAGCATTTTTTTGCTATAAAGGAGAATAAATAACTGATTTCTCTTCACGAATCAGTAGATCTTATCAAGGAAAATTATTCTGATGAAGTGTATATTTCGCTTCTGTCGGGACGTGGCCACAAAAGGATTACTTATTGAGAACACAACATGCCTTTGCCAGGACGAGTCAACAAGTTTTTGCAAGATATCTATAAAAGTCTATTCTCAATCTTTTACAAATAGACTTACCTTCTTTTTTCGTGCATAACCTTTTCTGTATTATAGCATAATTCGATGCCATCTAGACTGGTTGCATCCTCTAAAAGAGATCATCCAACCATTTTATTGGGTGACTTGTATATTACTTGCTCCAATTTCCTCCTCGTGTATCTTGTTATTGTCAGTTCTACTATCATCAGGCTTTAATTTTAACCATATGGCTCTATTGACAAGGGTAATTTCTTCTTTCAATGAAATTTCCGAATTATTGTAAGTACTCCATAATATTTTATAAATTATATCATTTACCTTATTAATTATAGATTCAATGTAGTTTATCGTTGAAATTATTCACTACAGCTACAATAGTTAACTCATACAATAAAACTATATATTGTCTCAAATTTTTTAAAAACAAATAAAGTTCTTTTTTTAATAAGAGCTATTCGCTCTGATATCGTCGTTTTCAATATGTTGTCTTATCCAATTTTCTGTATCTGTATTTGTATTAGAAGATTTAGATAAAAATGTAATAACAGGCAAACCTAAAGATCAGGTAGAAATCATCATCAATAACTTATCAAACGAAACTTACTTATTTCGTCAATCTTGAATGAGTTTGCAATCACAGTTTAATTTATTTATTGTTTATAAACCTTAAAAAATTTCGACATTTAGATGTTTTTAACAAATTTGCTTTTAGATGTAATATCTTGTATTTCGAAAGGATCGCGTTTTCATGAATATTAACGGTTGGTTTATGGATTTATTGATGCTTTATTAGCTGATCCTTGTTATATTCATATATAATAGCTCGAAAATATATTGATGAGGACTTGTTTACGAGAATTATTAAAAAATACTTCGTGTTTTAAGAATCGCGTTTATATTTATAGCAAAATTCAAATGGTCACATGATCAGGTGTAATGTTATAAAAAGCCTTTTGATTGGGCGTTACCAGTATGAGTATAAATTTTCAAAAAAGTATATATTTTATTATTATTTTTTTTTTACTATTCCTGATGAGATACAATTATTCTTGATTAACATCCTTAGTCGAAACTCAAAAAAGTTTCGACGAGTTAGTTTTGACGAGTTTCAACGGGCAATTGAGTTTGATTATTAAGAGTTTCTACGATATAGATATTTCTTATAGGAATTTGAAAAAAAATTCATATACGTAGGTAGCTATGTATATAGTACCGTATCCTATCGTGAATAAGCACCCACATTTAACATAGTAGCGAGTGCTTTTTCACAATATGATCAGCGCTATCTAAAGTTTTATCAAAATTTTATCTCACATGATATTCCGCGAATCAAACTTAATAAATACAATGATGTCACGGAGTGCTTATTCATGATCGACAATTTTTGTTATATGAGGTGCTTATTCGCAAATAACGTATTTTTTAAAGACCTTATCAGTTAAATTTTTGTGTATCCCGAAAAACGGATTCTCGAAGGACGTAATACCGACAAAGTTAGCCGGCATTGGTTATAATCAGTGTTGGCAATTTTTTGCGACCAATCAATTTTTTTGGCCATTGGCCTGACCAACGGCCAACAGCCAATTGGCTAATAGCTAAACTTTAGTCAAAAATTCCTAATTTATATTTATATAACATTAACCAATCATATTACTAATTTCTATACAAAATATTTGGCGATTTCTGGCTTTTTCGGCGGTCATTAGCCAGCCAAATAGCTAAATGACAACACTGGTTATAATGCTGGTCAATTTAGTCGGTATTATGTTCTTTCGGAAAAATGGCTTTCGGAATTTCGTGGTAGAACCTAAAATTTTTTTTACCCCATTAGGAATAGTACCGTTGGCGTCAGAGATCTACAAATTTTTCAATGCGTTAGATTGGATGATGGGGTAGAAAATTTTATTTGATAAGATCTAAAAAAAAAATCTCCGGCGCCGATTTTTTTTTCATATACAATACATACTTGAGATATTATACCATATGAATAATATTGTACTATATTACAGTATATAATTCATAGTATATTTATTCATATATATATAAATTATTACGTGAAAATCATTTTGACATACTGTTAACAAAGTCAATTAGTCTAATTGGTTATGTATTATTCTTCATAAAGAACAATCTTAAACTGTTACTTTTGTTCGAGAAAATTGTTTACGTTATCAGATTTTATTCAAAGATCTTTTATAGGATTAACCAGGGTAAATATTCAACTCGTTTTTTCTATTCAGGGATTTCTGTATTCGTGAGAATTTTCTACAGTATTCAGGGATTCCTGTATTCATGTGAATTGAGTTCACGGGCCTATCTATCATCTACATAATAATCCATACCATAACTAATCTATACTTTAAATGTAAAATAATAAAACGTGGCGTTTTGTAGGCTGGAACCTTAATTATTGATCTTTAAATTTAGAAATGTCTAATAAGATCATAAATATTACTTATACAGTACTATACTAATCTATATATTTAAAAAAAAGATGCGTACGAATTTACAAACTCTAACAGGTTTAAAGCTACTGTATAAGTATCACAAGTTTTTAATTCAAGATTTATTATAACTTTCGGTAATTTAAGAACTTGTACCTATTCAAGAAAAATATAAATTATACAAGTATTTTGTTTTATATAGTTTCCATTTTTGAGAATTGCTGTCATTAAAAAGACTTCATTTTTCTTGTTTATATATGAGTGACGTCATGGGAAAAGGGAGCATTCGTTTTTATTGATTATTTACCTGATGATCGACAGCATATCGGGCTTTTACTAAGATGACAATTTCAAGGATTTCATATCGATATTATAATTGAAAGCCCGATGTGTTGTCGATCATCAGATAAATAATCAATAAAAACGAATGCTTCTTGGCGTCACTCATATATTATCAACTGCTCTAACTTTATTATCATTATCTTTCTAAAACGTGTGACTTGTATTTTAAAGATTTTATCAAAGTAGAAAATAAATTATATTTTTCTTTTCACTAATGATTTTCATTCGAATTATGTATGTTACACCGTTTTTCCATTCTATTTGATCCCTGCATTACGAAGAGACATCAAAAATAAAATTTCTGTCAACTTATTTAATGAATAAATTGATTCTCCTTTACAGAAACTCTAAATATCTTAATACGCAGTAGCTGCATAGTAACGACGTAGTAATTACATAATTATTATACTATTAAATTTAATCGTAACTACATGGCTACTATGCAGTTACTGCATAGTCAAAAGTTTTTTTTGCACAAGAATTGATATGAATGACGGAAAGGAAAAACTTGCAAATTAGGTACAGTATGATTACATGTGATACTATACAATTGATCAATCTAGTCACTATTACCAATAATCATTAAGAGCTAATCAGGAGCAGAATCCGATAAGATGAAAAAGTAATGAAGTAATGAAGTAATGAATTAATATACAGGTTTTCTTCTCTTTCTGTCAGTCATACATTTATTTGCTAATGCAAATCTATCAGATTGAGGTAACGGATTTCCTTTTTTTAAATCTAATAATAAATGATCAAACCGTATTTGCCGGATAATATCATCTACTTTATGATTCTTGTAATTTTTTTTTCCTTCGATATCGGTATTGAATTTTATCCATTAATATCAATCTATTATTTTTTTTTATATAAACAAAATTAATTTATCATACTTCAAACTTTATCGTAATTCAAAATTACTTGTAATTCAAAATTCATTAGTCAAAATACAGTAATATCATTACAATAATAATGATTTATAAAGTATGTAATTAAAATTTAACCGATAATTGATGTACTGTATCTTAAAATTAGAAATCTACGTATACTTATTTTTTTGCACTGTAAAATTCTTTTTTCAGAACTTAGGATATATTTTTTTCCGTCAAGTAAAGAACATATTTTAATAGCATACATTCTCAAAAATTATGTAGCAGTATTATTTTCAAAGGACGTTGAATTTTTATCATTATACGTAGGTTATTGTTCAATACCAGTTCAGAACAGGTCTTTTGCAACCTTAAAACTTTTTTTTAAAAAAAAAAATCGAATTTGACTATGAAACTACCATCTAAGTTCTAGTTAACATTAAAAAATATTTATTTTATACTCTACATCACAGCATTACCTCTGAAAAATTTATATTACGTAATTTTTAAAACTGTATCGGTATGTACGATTGGTGGGAACTAAATACGGAAATTATGTAATATTACAATTCTGGTTTAAATCCGGTACGGAAAAAATCTATATGTATTCTTCAGGTTTTAATTTCAGAATTTGATAACGATAACACTTTGTACGTACGTACGTACGTATATCAAACCTTAACTCATACTTTGGTATTTGGTGAATTTAATTGGATAAAATTCGCGTGATCTACTCAAATTTGTGTCATCATTAATTATTACGTATGAGAATTTTAAGGGGTATAGTAAAGTCAACTCAGATCGGTCTTGGCACCAAGATTCTTAAGCGGGTCTTTGGACATTGGTTCTCATATAATAAGATCCAAGGTCTAGGTCAAACCAGACTTTGTTCAAGACTTAGAACTCAGCGGTAAGTTAATCGATGTATATATAATTGTCGTTATGAAAATTTACTATATATTTTATATTATTTGTTTGATTACTTAATTTAGTAAAACATTAAATTGTACGTACGTAACATCATAAATTATTAATTAGATGTTCACTAACTTACTGCAATTAGTAATAATAAATATTAAGAACGTTCATCATTATAAATCAAATTTCAAATTCACGAATAACTTACAATTATGCAATGTCTTTGTAGTTAATGAGTATAAAGAATATTTTAATTTTAATCAAAGTATATTTAATATAAGTATAGTTTATTGAAATTTAACATACATTACATAATGCTCTTTGTTTAATGTTACCTTTATTCACGTTATTTTCCTTGTGGTTAATGAATTAAAAATCAAAAAGAATATTTATTAATCAGTATTTAAAAGGTTAAATGCTTATTACGTAATAATTTAAGTTAGCTTACTATTGCTGAATTAATGTATCATTTAGCGTTATCGGTAAATAGTGACATCAAAAAAATTAAAGCTTGTTAAAAACGAAAATTAAAAACAAAGATTTTCATTTTGCACCACATGTATGTGGATCCTAAATTGAAAGAGACCAAACCAAATTATAGAGTCACAAAATCTGAAGATTTACATTTTTCGATATTTACCCAAACGAAGCTGTACTATGTATGTAAAGTCGCGTGAAGTGATTATTAGTGAAGACGCGTTTTTACTCATTTTCAATTAACACTACACTTAATACGAATGAATTTTTTTTTTTTGGTTCAACATGAGCTTTGTTTACTTTAAATCTTTCAAAGATGTTAAATAAAATACAATGCAAACCAAATACAATAATTTTATAAAAGAAATGGCACAACCATTTCAAATTTTTTTTTTGATTTTTTTTTTTTTTGAATAAAAGGTTTGCGCTGAAAAAAGCTATAATACATGTATGTAAAAATGTGTAAAAATGAAAAATTATACTTTTTTAAAAATCTAATTTACAAAGAGATAGAAAAAGATAGAGAGAGAGGAGAAAAAGAAAAGAAAAGAAAAAAAAAAAAAAAAAAAAAGATGAAAAGAAATATATTTTTATATCTATATAAAAATTGTGTAAAATAAATGTTCAACAAAATCAAAAATAAATCAATCAGTTAATCAATCAATTAATCAATCTATGAATAAAAAAAAAATTGAATAAATCAAATAAATTTTTTCGAGAGAATTTCATATACTTTCCCTATAGCTATCAAGTCTTTCAGGTCTAGGAATAGCGGGAGTAGGTTTTTTCAATAACCATTCTTTCAAATGTTGATTTCCCACGGTATTATTATTATTATTATTGTTTTCGTTATTGTTATTATTGTTATTAGATGTGGTAGCTATAGGAATAGTAGGAGTTGTAGGTAAAGACGCAGAACCTTCAAATACACAATTATTAAATCCAGTAATATTATTTCTTCTCGAGTTCACATCATCACCACTATTACTTCTATTTCTTCTCGAGTTCACATCATCACCACTATTACTTCTATTATGAAACCGTACAGAAGGGGTACTATAACTATAAGTATGATGAAAATGTCGACGATTATTGCTTTTGTTCCCTAGTTGACCAATATTTTTATCATTATTACTAAAACTACCATTATTATTATTAATATTATTTTTGATACTATTATTAATATTATAAATGTCATTATTATAATTATAAAGTGATATAGGAGAAGCCAACGTTATAGAATCAGAAGAAGTAAATTTACTACGTCTTCTATCAAATATTGTCGCTGTAGGAGATAGAGGGGATAAAGGAGATCGAGGAGATAATGGATTTTCAATTACCATATCTTGATGAACAATTTCTACCGAATGTTTTGGAGAATCATTTAAATTTCTTAAAAAAGTTGAAGAAGATGATGGAGAACGTCTTTGTTTAGTTATTGAAGAATCAGATTGTCGACGAAAATTTTGAGGAAATTTTTTTAACGGATCATTTGTTATAGTAATATTTGTGTTAATAAATGGGATTGAACTAGTACCAATTACTGAATTATTATCATTATCTTTAAAATTTGAAGGATAAGGACTTGTAAAAAATTGATCATCATATTTAACATTAACGGTAGATCCTCCAAATGAATTATTATTTTGATGATGATATTTTGGTTTTATGTAATTGAAATTTATCAAATCTTCTTCATTTAATTTTTCAGAAATTTCATTTATAATATCATTATTGGTTTCTTCCTCTTGTTTTCGATCATTTGATTGATTATTTTGATCTGAATTTATTTCTCGATCGCTATCTTTTATCATTGACCTTGCTGATGAAAGTGGCATAGACGCGTCTGACGTTTTTAATAAACTATAATAAAAGATTAAACGATATATAATAATAATATTAATATACTGTATAATGTATAATGTATAATAAAACAAAAATAAATAAGTTAACATTATTAACATACTTGCTAAACATGATCCATTGAGTGATATGTATAATGACAGGAACGACAAAATACCATATGCACAGATACAAAATATTAATTTTAAAATTAAAGATCGAATTCGTCCGATAGTATAATCCATATAACAGAAATGCTGGTAGGTAAATTAATGCTATGACAATTTGGCCAAATACAGGAACAGATAACTAATATTATAAAGATTATAAAGATTATAAAGATTATAAAGATTATAAAGATTATAAAGATTATAAAGATATAGTAGATGGTGAATATTTAATAAAATATTATTAAAGATTATCGAATCGAATAATCGAAATAATTATAAAAAAGATATATTAAAATATATTAAAGATATACGTACATTTTTACATCCGCGTTTAAGTTGATCCAATTTAATTTGAAGCTCAGTACTTTTAATTACGTGAGAACGTTCCAAATCCGACATATTATCCCAAGCAAGTCCAATAAATCTAATCCAAAGATATAACATAATAATCACATAAAAAATAGCCCATACGAACCAAGCAAGATTTTGAGAAGTAAAAAATTTATTTGCAGTTTCAAAATCTTCAATTTCAGCATAATAACCAGTTAAAGCGGCTAATGTAATAAACAAAGTTAATGATAATAAAGTGATTATTATACATGCTATGTCTATTAAAATTCCTTGACGTGATCCTGACACATCTGAAAATACTGGTGATATAGGTGAACGTGATGTATGAAATTGATTTGTTCTTATTTCTAATGATGATGTTGACATCACTTTAAAAAAATTTATGAAAATTAGAATTATATTTAAATAAACGTAATATAAATGCCATAAAAATGTCATAAATGTCATATCATAAATAAATGTCATAGATAAATGTCATAAATGTATGTTTACCTATACTTAATGGATAAAGTATTAAGAATACTGCAGCGAGCGATTTCGGTAAGGCCTGACCAACTAAAATAAATTCAATCATAAAAAGAGATTATAAAAAGAGATTATAAAAAGAGATTATAAAAATAGATTATATAAATAGATTATAAAAATAAAAAAGAAATTATAAAACATACTTTCAGCCCAAAGTAAATTAGGGTATGAATCCATTAATAAAAAGATTGAATGCAATATTTGAACTACAAAAAAATTTCATGTTTAATAGATCGAATAGTAATAATGTCAATGATCACATATTTTTATAAATCTTTAAAGAAGAAAAAAAGAAACTTACAAGGACAATATATTAAAGATATACAGTGATAAGTATGTTGAGGACGAGGTCTCAAGAAACCACGATCTCGTCTTGGAGGTAAAAAGAACGGTTGATCTTTAATCAAGATCAAATTATATAAACTTATTATGGCCGTTATTCCCAGTATAGTACAATAGGGTATTAATATCCAATTCGCAATCACGAGAATATTTTGTTCTGGGCAATCATGAATATTGATTCGAAAATCACACGCACAGGGGTGGTCTTTATTTTTACATACAACGGTAAATTGATTTATTAGTCGAACCATCATAAAATCTATATAAATTAAATATACAAAATGTCAATTATAGAGAGATTATATAGAGTGGTTATGGTAATGGTAATTGAAAGTTATAGATATAAAATGAATTTTATGAATGAATTTTATGAAAGATTTATGAATGAATTATGAAAGAGAGAGAGAAGCAAATTCAAGATATTATTACGACCAAGGAAAATGAGAGCCCAGAAATGGAAATCGATAACAACGCAACGCATTCACATTTAGTTCCTAATCGATTACAACAAATTCATCTTCCTCATGAAAAAATAAAATTCACCTTTTAGAGAGAGTGAATTTGAATTTTGCATGGACGTCCAAAAAAAAAAAAAAACAAGAAAAAAAAAAATTGACTAAAAAAGAATTGGATACGAGAAATCATAGTAAAAAAAAAAAAAAAAAAAATTATACTAAAAGTAAATTCATCGTAAATACAACTCATTTTAGAAATCATAAGATGATCACCAAATAGCTTGAATATTCTTTGTTTGAGTTTTTCCTTTCATAAGCACCAATACCTTGAATTATATGAAGAGTATAAACATGGACTCTAATCATTCATGCATGTACACAGTCGGCGGTTGAGAAATGGAAAATCGGATGTCTGTTAGACTTTAGTGCATTGCCAAATTGTATGTTACATAACGCATGGTAAACCAATCATTAAATACTCGATCACAACTGTCAGACCAAGTATTCACCATTTTGGTTTACTATCAAATATATTTTAAGTTAACTCGTTTCACTATTCTCATGACCATTGTCTCTGATTGATGTGCGTACTTAGGTTTAATTAGGAATTGGATTGGGGCTTGGTGTAGTAATGAAATAATTAGGAAATTGTAATTACAAAAATATATATATATTTATATTTACTGTAATCCAGTAATTGTTGGGTATTCCGGGTTCACCTAAATTTGCGTGTAACAGATAATTTTATTAAGATAATTTATAAAGATAAGTATATATATATATATATCGATATCGATATATATATATATATATATTCATATATACGTATTAGATTTTTTGGGTTGTCCACGTGATTATTTTTTTACAAATAAATTAACTCTCGTTATTTTAACCATGCAAGAAGATTAAAGGAGTGCAGGATATTACAAGAAAAAAAAACAAAAAAAATATATAAATATATTAAAACAAGGAGATGTATATTTCTAATGATTAATATATAATTATGAATGAAATAACAATTACGAATATTATTATTATTACGAATAACAATTACGAATAATAATTACGAGTGGTAATTTACAAATTATAAAAAAAAAAAAAAACTTTAAATATAATTAATTCAATAGATAAAAATATTCTAAGGATGTAATCTGATCAAGCACAAAAATACACACGAATTACATACGGCAGGATTTATGCCAGATTATGGATGAATGCAACAAATAAATGCACATTGGATGTTTCTATGAACCTAAATTGTTTATGTATGTACGGTTTTTTTTCGACTAAGCAAAACATTAAATTTTAATAGTTTAATATTATATATATATTTATATATTTTTTTTAAAAAAAGAAATATATATATATATCAGATATACAGATACGTATACTGTAGTAAAAAAGAAGCGTAGTTTTTTTAAATCGTTCATGTGCAGATAAAATTCATTTAATAAGTCAATTTTATTAATACATATTCCCAAAATTAAAAAATTGTCCTCCCCTTTAATGTCACGAATTTTGTGTATCGTAGGAAAACCATAATTTCTAAAATATTAAACTTTTCGAGAGTAATGTTTTTTAAACAAAAAATTCCAATTCAAAATAAGTCAAAAATAATTTTGATTTAATATAACTTTTTTGTATCATAAAAGAATTTTCAAAATCAGGAAATTTTTTCATGATTTGACAAATACTGTACGCGGTTTTAATGAAACATAAAAAATCGTACAATTATAAAAAAACATGTTTTTAGTACGTAACACGAATATAAACGATAGTGTAAGTAGAATTGTTTACATAGAGTAACGTATAACAACAGATATGAAGATTAAGATCATATTTCAAATTTTTTCTTGAAAATGTATTATATAAATGGGATGTTTCTCAGAGTTTACTAATAAAGAAGTGCAGGTCTCTTATTTTTTTTTTTAGCCCATGTTTAATAAACACGCGAATTTGATTATCTCAATCACACGTTTGTAAAATGTTTCAGCCTGTTCACTAAAAATTGTGAAGTACGCAAAATATGAATGGCGTAATTCATATTTTTAATCAAGTTATTTTTGAGTCTAGATAATTTTAGGTAAGATTTATTTCGAATTAATTTTATATGTTAACTTTAAGCTTTTGCATACTTTTACATACAGCCGACGGTATAATTACGTACAATACATACTTACGTACATATGGTACATACGTACGTACGTACGTATGCGTATTTCAACACGATAATCCCGCGCTTTATCTCTTATCGTCTTTGTAACAGGGAATGTACGTGCATACGTACGTACATACATACATACGTACACACTGTACGTACGTACGTATGTATGTATCACTGATTCGTGGTACAAGTTCTCTCTGTCTGTTCACAAATTCTGCTTAAAATAACACGTGTACACGAAGAATCTCATATTTTTAGAATCATTACAGTAGAAACTACAATAGAAAACTACGGTAGAAACTACGGTAGGAAACTACGATAGAAAACTACAGTAGAAACTATAATAAGAAACTATTGTAGAAGCTACAATAGGAAACAAAAAAGCAACCTAATTTATACATAACAAAATCAATCAGTAATTAGTTGACAAAAAAAGATCAAATACGTAGAATGAAAAAAAAAAAACTTAATTGGTATTTCATATAAATAACAAAGACCACCTGCTTACGTAATAAATATTAAAATGTTTTTTTTTAAGGAACCATATTCTTATACAATACTTTCTTATATATAATATTCTGATTTGTATATTAACGTTAAATTCGATAAAGTCTGAAAATAAAGAAAATTGGAAATTTAATATGTTCTGAAATGATAAAGTTTGGATCTAGCCATTCGTGCGCCTTTGATTTAATTCGTAATCATATCATGCAATAAAAGTATACAAAGAAAGAAATACCGAACTTGGAATAAAGAAACAATATTTGAAAATAATTTAATTGTGAGCGCACGTGGACATTCTGCATAATATAATCCATGTGACCGCTTTTTTTCATCAAATTGATTGAGTAAAGATAAACTGGCAGAAGCTTTATGATTCCTTATCTATTTTACAAAGCTGTATATATTAAATATATCGTTATTTTGATATTGAATTTTATATGTATTGATTTTAATATTGCGTGATTTTTTTTTAAAAATGTAATCTGTGTTATCTGATTCTGCTGTTTATCACGTGAAGATATTGTTAATAATAATATACGTATAACAATGATTATTATTATCACAAATCTTTACATTATTCACTATTAAAAAATATTTCTGTCATAACTAGTTAAAAAAATTTGGTATTTCGATACGTATAACCAAGAATATTGCTCCCTCAATTATTTTCCGGTATCGGTATATAATTTTTTTAATTATGTATTACTCTTGACTATCTACATCGAATTAAGAAAACTCCGTGAATTACTATTAATATCCTTTTATGGCTTTTTCATAATAACAGATACGTAATACATATAAAATTATACGTACGTATATCGATTCATTAATTTCTTTAATAAAAGATCCTCGAATATTAAGATGAACATCCTTATTGTTATAATAGTATCAAAGAATATTCGTCAAACCTTTATATTTATTACTATCCTGCATGCGTATTCCTGAAAAATTTTTTATATTTTTATATTAGCTTAATATTTTTCCATGATTGAATTAAATTTAATTTTATACCCTTTTAGTTTGGTAGTGATCTCGATCTAGGGGTGATAAGCTTGATCATTATTAAGCTAATCCCAGATCATTATAATTACTATTACTGATACCAGTAAAATTACAAAATTCTGTTGTACATAATAGATAAAATACATACGTACGTATCCACTATCTGCTATCAATACTGATACATTCTATATATCTTACGCTTTTTGAACTAGTATATTTCTTTCAATCTATATCTTATCAAATCCTCTTAAATTCTAAAATGAATAATTATCTAGTTTTGTATTAGCTTAAAAGGTTCATCGATCTTAAATAATAATATAGTTAGTTAAATTCTTATAAAGTAGTTTAAAATTAATTGTTAAATAATAATACATTATATGATTCTCCTTTTGACTAATTGTTGATTACGAGATTTTCATTCTTATTTTTGTGTCAATTTACTTTAAACTTAATAGGGAAATACTTCCGTTTGACAATTTTAGTATAACAATTTATTCTCCGTTACAAGAAAATAATTATCAAAAAGATGTGGAAACCGATTTCCATATACCCATGTGGGGGAATCAAAGAACGTTTAGTTAAAATCTGATTAGCGCAGGTATAGTGATCTGCATCTTTCTACAAATTTTTCATATTGTTACTATCGTTGGGAGAGCTTTTAACAATTGTCGGCCGGATTTAGCTTGATAGTAAGCTAAAACACGTACTATGGGGGTAAATAATATATACTTTAAAGGTATATGGTCACTTTTCTATCTATTCCGAGCACGTGAGGGTTAAATAAATCTAATCAGGACCGGGTTGATCACTTAAATTGATCAGGTTACGATATTGTAAACAATGAAATCGGATCGTCACGATTATGACGAATTTAGGATAACGGTATCTAAATAACGATCGATAAGGTAATAATAATAATACGATACAGGATGATAATTAAGAGTGATAAAAAAAATAATGCAATAAGACTTTATTCATTTAACAAGGTATACTCTAATCGGGTGAGAATTCGATTCTTATTATATTCCAATAAATCAAGACATCGAAGCCTCCTTTATTTAAGGTGCGAGAGACCGCACTTTTATACTTTCAATTTACATAGTTTATTTACATGTTTGGGACTATTTCTGATCTCTAAGGGCTAGTTCTAGTCGCTTCACTAAGCTCTTTGTTTAAGCCCGACTAGTTCTTTTCCTTATTGCTAAAGGCTTTGTCAACCCAAAAACCCCTCCTTACTAGTTCTACACCGTCCTGGGCTTAGTTCTAATTCCTTGTTCTAGGCCCTCGCTTATCCTTCTATTTACCAAGAAAAATATAAAATAAAAGAAATAAAAAGAAAGAAAGAAAGAAATAAATAAATATGCCGCAATACCCAAAGGTTGGGTTATTTCTAGTCTCCCAAGCCCAAAACAAAATAAACTCGAG